CGAACTGATCGCCATGCATGGCCTTTGGCAGCGACAGCAGCAGTCTGCCAGAGCACTGGGGAGGGGGTCCACCAGATGAGATCAGTGGGCTTCGTCTTGAGAATTAACTTTCGATGGGATGAATCTGTTCATTCCTTTGATGATCCTCTGAGTTACAAGATTGCATGATGTATCAGGCTCATCACTGACATCAGTGATGATCTCGGTCCAGTCGGTGTCACGGTACAACCGTACATGTAGAATGCTCTCACACGATCCCACTCGTACTCGGCATGCTGATATCACCATACTGTACGCGTAGTTGGTCTGTCCTGGTCTGGTGTCAGGTCTTACTTGTTGTGGACGATTTGAGAGGTACTAGTAAGTAGTAGTCGATTAACCAGTTCAGGTCTGTAGAGTGCTGGCCACAGTCTGCCAAATTGACAGGAACGGTAGAGGTTATGTTCAGCCAGGTATTGACTGAGTTGCTCATTGACGATACGCTCATGCAGCTTGGAGACTATAGGGAGCAATGAGACAGGTCTATAGTTGGTGGGTTGCCTGGGGTCACCACATTTGTAGACGGGAGTGATATTGGCGATTTTCATGCTCGGTGGCAGCTGGCCTTCGGACAATGATTTGTTGTAGATGAGCGTCACCAGTGAGGGTGCAAGAAGGTCAGCACAGGATTTTAAGGACCGTTGCTGGTAAGCCATCACTGCCAGTAGCTTTTGCCGTGGCTATTGACGATAGGAGCTTCCGCACACGGGCAATGGTAACAGGTAGAGGATCACTGACAATGCCCGAGTGATAACACAGTCATCAATGTCATCCGGGGAGCATTTAGGAAGAGTGTGGACTGGCTGTCGTCCGCTCAGCTGATTCAATACACGCCAAGACAATTCTGCCTTGGGTTCCGCGTAGCGTTCACACTCTACATTGTCGAAGACAATTCATGGGCTTTATCCCTTGGTGGATTATGCTCGGTAAACTGCTTTCCATTATGCCGGTGATTATGCTACATTACGCTGGAATTATGCCAATACCGGTAATGGTGATACACCGTACTGGACCCTTGTACTCGTGTTGCACTTTGCAACGTTACAACGACTCTGGCACTATGACAGCACGGCTGATAAGGGGTAACATTCACCAGGTGATTTCCTGTAACATGCCTACCGTAAGTAAGTATGCCTGGAGCATTCAACCAGCGTCGGAAGGTTATGCCAACCATCTGATCTGGTCTCAGAAGTCCTTTTTTTGCCAGGGCATAATTTTTTGACAAAATCCGAAGATTATGCCAGCATAATCCGCCTATCCTCTAGGGCACTTCTCTGCTCACGGTTGCGGAAAAATTGCGAAATAGCTGTGAAGAAAGGTGCGACAGTCGCGATTTCTTCCGAAACAAAAAACGGCGAAAAAAATGGTGAGCATCTTTGGGAAAGGGCTACCGAGTAGACTGGCCGACACGCAATAGCGAAAAGAAGGATGCAGAATGTAGCATGTGCACCATGACATACAGGACCAGCATGTGTCAAACACACCATCTTGGCACAGGAGCTATCCGACATTGGGGTCGGCGGTACTGTCCAGATATGGTTCACTAGTTACCTGAGTGAGCGGCTTCAACGCGTAGTCGTGGGCGGAAATTGCTCGGAATACGTCGCATGCAGTCGAGGGGTGCCGCAAGGATCCGTCCTCGGCCCCCTCCTGTTCACACTATACATCCGTAACCTTCGATGCTGCTTGCCCCAGCAGGTCACAAACCAGGAATTTGCAGACGACATTGCAATTGAAGCCTCGGGCAGTTGCGAACAAGTGTGCTCTTCTCTAAGCACAGCCATCACTGGCCTGTCGCAGTGGTTGGAGGACCGCGGGCTAATGCTGAACCAAAAGAAAACGCAAGCTCTGTTGATTACCCCAAGAGGCCCAGCCCTTGACACAGATAACATTCGAATTCGCTGTGGGAATGCAGCCCTTGCAGTTGTGGAACAAGCGCGGTACCTGGGCGTAATGGTAGATGGGCAGCTCTCCTGGGAGCCTCACGTCAATCACACAATCCAGCAGGTGCGGAAGTCAGTAGGTGCGCTGTGGCGGAGCCGCCGAAGCCTCACCCTGGCGTCAAAGATCCTGTTTTACAGGTCGATGATCCAGGGTAGGTTGTCGTACGCTTCCAACGCCTTTTATCCGTCACTTCAAATTGGCAACATTGAGCCCCTCACACGTCTAACGAAGTGCGCTATCCGCGGCTTCTTCGGTCTGCCACCGTGGTCGCGCACGAGCCCGATCTTTGAACAGCTCCGCCTCACCACCCTGGAGGACATGTTTAACATTAAGCTCCTCATCTTTGTCCGTCGTTGTCTGTTCTCCCGAGCTAGCTCCCTCTTCACCAGCTTCTTCGTGAGAGTTACTGGTGACCGCACTCGGGGAGCAGCACATCACCTCGTTCGAGTACCATTTTGGCCCGGTCCTGCGGGTCGAGCGACCATGCAGTTCATCGGCGCAGTCCTGTGGAACCAGCTCCCGCCTGATCTCCGTTCCGAGCCCAGCCACCTTCAGTTCTGTGCCCTGCTAAAAGCGCATCATGGCTCCGTTTAAATGCTTTTCGGCTAGTGTGTTTCTGTGGTATAGCGGACTGAAGAATAGTAAACGTGTTTTGCAATATATGTATGAAGCTATTTTGTATATAGTATGTTCCCATTCCATTTTTGCTTTGGTGTAGCCCTGAGGTTGATTGCTTATTTATTTCTACCCTTCCTCTCTCCATACTTCTGTCCCCCCCCCCCCCCCCTCTCTCTCATTCCTTCTGTCGTCCACATGTATCAAAGGAGGCGAAATCGCCTGTTTGTGGTGCGACGTTAAATAAACTTCTACAACAACACAACAACAACATGCACCAGCTGGTTTAGGCATAAAATTACTGTTCTTCTCTCCTTTGACTTAAAATCTCAAATTTTGACCTTTATCCACTCCATACATAATATTAATTTCATTATTCTATTGGTTTGGAAAGACTCCCATGATAGGTATCCATTTACCTCTGGAGAGTCTGTAAATAAACAATACCTCAATACGTCAAATACTAGCTAGATTGTTGTCTTGGAAGATCAAAAATAGGAATACAATTTCCACAAAGCTGATCTGGTGATGTGATGCCCCGCCAGGGACTGTGAGCGCCATGACATGCAATCATGCCCGAGTCATTAAGGTGTGGACTCGGCACTATAGTGGAGAATGGACGTTCTGGAGTCAATGATATCAACAGACTGTCCACACTCGGTGTAGTGTATGGTTTTGGCCCAAGCAGGCGACGCAACGAGCACACCGTCCACGTGGACGGTCATGTCACTGAAACGAGTGCCATTGCCCGACGGATACGTGCGGCACGAGTACACGCGTATCGCCTCCAGAGTCACCATTGCCCAGTGGTATGCATGGTCAACACGCACACGCAGTACACTCGCCGATACGCTTGCATGCTGCTGCTCATGTTGCTGCTGTGGTAGTGCGCCGACGTCGCCGCTTGCAGTCCTATCATCATACAAACCCCTTGCACTGCTCACTAGAGTGGTAGTCAATGTCCACATGTCCTCCGACATGTTGTAAGTCATGTTGGCCTCCAGAACATCACCTGTCTTAACCCTCAGTGTGGAACCACAGTGAGCTCGTATTCCCACCACGTAGTAACTAGCCGCACTCCAATGCTCTCCACCGCCACAGCCACTGTGCCCGTACTGCAGCACTGGCTGTAGGATGTCCGTCGCGTTCTTGTGCCCGTTGTTCGCCTCCAGGCCGGCGAACAAGAACATAGTGGTCAGGATGTTGTAGCTGGGCGGTGCTGGTGGCACCGTGAACCTGGCTGACATGTGGGTAACGTTACTTCGGGCTTCGTAGCCGCTGTACTCCACCCAGCCGCTGTAGTACTCAGGATCTGTTTCGCCGTCCTTTCGTGCCTCGGCATCTCGCCGTGCTGTGTGCACTTCACCGTCTACCACACCAATCTCCTGCTCAGCAATCAGCTTTCCGTCTGGCGAGTATACACGCGCTTTCCGTGCTTCAGCCGGTTCTCCGCCTTCGCTAGCATGACGTGAGGAAGAAGCTCGGACATCGATGATCGCTCCGTTTGGCCACTGAAAGAAATTTTCCCTTTTGATAGTGGAAATTTGACCGAGGCAAGCGTGGAAGAACAAGAGAAAAGCTACTACTAGGAACAACGATGCCGTCATTGTCAGTTGTATTTTAGCTTGGTATACTAAAGTACGTCTTGAACAATTACCATCAGTCTCTTGTTACTGCTCGAGTCCTGCGCGCCTCCCCCTCGCCATTCGCAGCGAAACTCATTTTTGTGAATGGAACCCTTCAGGATAATAGGATGCCAAATCGAATCAACGCCCCAGGAATGGGTTGTCACTGGAGGCTACATGTACATGTAATAATCATGCATATCATGTACAGTGCTGGCAGCTGAAATCCGACCCCCTTGGCGGCGCGGCGCCCGGCCAAGGGGGTCGGATTTCAGTTGCCAGCACTGTAGATCTACAGACTACAATCATGTACATAGTCCAAGTCTCACGTGACGTGTCAGATTGTAGATGCACATGTATTCAGTAAAACATGCCAAGGAGACCACACTGTAGTAGTAGTACTGTCTGATACACAATCATGACACTGACAGTCATTGTGCTGAGTATTCATTCAGTAAAACATGCCAAGGACAGCACAAAAATGTGTGAATAAGCCTATTTTTACGAGTATAAGCCATATATGGGCAATCACAGAACATGATAATTATCATGCTATCACTGGCCTGACACAACAACTCACACTAATACACAATCATGCATGTATTCAGTGAAACCAGTGCCAAACTGAGACCACACGATGAGGTGCCCACCTACATGTACTATCAAGAGTCCATAACCGGTTATGGACTCTTGGTACTATTATACACAAGAACCGCCTTTTGCGGCAGCAATCCCTTCACTCTTCAGTGGTCAGCAAACTTACCTTCATGATCGAAGTACATGTACATGTATTTGGTTGAGTGAAGTCTGGATCACAAGTGCGGGAATGTAAAATGATCAAGCCAGCCACAATGGAGCACTTTCTTCTTTCAGTGTTGTTCAGACCTAACTCAAAGGCCTCACATAGAAAGAAGGCCATGAGCAAAATCTGACAAAATTTCAAAGAAATTCTGCAGGGTAGCAAGTATAAAAGCAGTGTGAGAACATGCATGGAAAGACTTCAAAGCATAACACTGGAGATACAATTATGTATCATGAATGATTTAATCCATGATATTCAGCGGCAAGTCACTGTATATCAGTGCAGGCATCAATCCTCCTTTTCTGATACCAGATCTACGTTTTAGTACAGTGAACATCAACGTCTCGCATTCAAGTGCAACAGAATAGGTCGGATTGAAACAAGGCAAGGCACCATCTCAGCCGTGACTAGCAAAGAAAATAATTAATAATCACGGTTCGCTTGACACTCAGTCAGTAGACTGACAGATTAGTACTGAGTGGTCAGTACTAGCGAAGGACGCTAGAAAACACGTCATAAAAATCAGGAAAGTGTGCATTTGCGCATCAGAGCTGCTCTGAACTGGAGCAAGTCTGGTCTAGTTTGGCTTCACTCGGAACTGCTGGACACTGTACACAGGTGACCTATGCAGCGGCACAGGACCAAAAAGCTCATAACTGCCACGTGACGCAGCAGTCACATGTTGAGATTCAAGCGAGCCAAGGAGCCAGCCTTGGCCACGGTTACCGGTCACAGTACTGGTCCAGCCGTCGCATGACGGCCAATCACACGTGCGCATACACACACACACACACACACACACACACACACACACACACACACACACACACACACACACACACACACACATGGTGTGCACTTGCAAGAGCATTACACTATTTGCTCAACAGAAGAAGAAAAACCTCCAACAGTGATGATCCTGGGTATATCGACTCGTGGGAACTAGCACACATTGGCCCGATGCAGCTGCGTGGAAAGCAGCTACATTCTACGGATATCCACACATAGCAAACTGTGGAACAAACCACAGAGGCGGAGATGAAGCCAGGTCATGCCATGATTTGGCTGGTGAAATGGTGTGATCGAGCAGCACTGCCACTCCAGCCATCAACTGAGCTGTAGTAGCTATCAGCATCATCATTGCAACAGCATTGCAACACACTCAACCACCACGGTCACTGTTACGCTCTCAGCTCTGCCAGTGAGAAAGAAACCGGGTACCGTTTTGCTGTACTTCTGGAAAAGCTCAGGAGCTTACCAGGTCAAGCCAGTCGCAGTTTGTCTTGACACTGCTAACAGCTTGACCAGGCAGACGGTGAGAGCCAGGAAGAAAAGACGGGAGACGGAGACAGACCCTAAGTATGCTTGGGGTTAACCATTGATCCCAAGTCCGTGCGCCTGACGGTGTATGTCAGCGGTTTGGGCTTGGTAGCATTGGCAAGCACAGGCCGCACAGCGAGACGTATCTGAATGTCACTCTGGAGAGAGAAAGAGAGAGAGAGAGAGAGAGAGAGAGAGAGAGAGAGAGAGAGAGAGAGAGAGAGAGAGAGAGAGAGAGAGAGAGAGAGAGAGAGAGAGAGAGAGTCACACGACCAGGGACAGTACTGAAGAAAATGATCTGGCATGAACAAATACACACACACACACACACGCACACATACATAGAGTCTGACGTCCAATTAAATTTGCTTGCACATGATGCACATATGCTTCGAACAGAACAGCATGTGCGGAGAAGAAGAGAGTGTCCAATGGACATCCACATTTACGATGCACACTGCTTACCCGAAGTTTCTGGATGCCACAGATGAAGAGGACATTCTCGTGACTGGAGCAGCAGAGCTGTGCAAGCAGCTTGAGGAATGGCGGAGCTAGGTCCACAGTGAACACGTCCAGGTTTTGCTGTATGGCGACAAGAGCACGATAGATAACCAGCACAATGACATATTATGCTGGGTAACAGCTGTACAGCAGTGTTTTATCATGAGACAACCTGTCCAGTGTCGTCCATGTGCACGTATCGCATTCAACACAAGAAAAATAATACTGTTGATGAGGCGAATCATGTGTCGTACAATGGCATACAGCACAATTTCACTTGTTGTTTCCGTTTCGTGTTGTGCTGTCTACACAGCATACAGCATGCAGCACAATTTGTTCTATTCTTGTCTTCAATACTCTCCGCTGACACAGTACGGACTGCTGGCTTATAGCTTACACTTCGTAAATACTTGACGTCGAACTGTGCAATCACCGAGTCCCGATTCTCCTTGTCCACCACTGTGCTCACGACCAAGACGTTAGCCACGCGCCGGAAGAAGCAAAGCTCCACGGAAGCGTTCAACTTCTCGCAGTCCAGGAAAGCCTTGGGCGGCACTCCTGTGGAAACGGTTTAACAGAATCGTCGAGTTGACCAACACAGTGATAAATGTAGCAGAAATGAGACGGGTTCATTGTCCAGAATACAACTGACTTCCAGATCACTACTGAGGCCCAACAAAATATGGCAAAGGTGCTACAGTAGTCGGCAATAGGTGCTAAGAGTTGCAGGTAACAAGTGCTGAGTTAGTATGTTGCGCCATAAATGACAGGTGTGGCAGGTAACGCAAGTGCCATCTGCAGCTATGTCCAGTGTCAACACCTAACAAGGCTGTGTGAAAGTGGCACCAATGGAAGGTGTCATCCTCACAGTCCAGCTCTCACAGCCGCCTGGCTTGTGAGCGAGATTGATACAAGCATTCCCAACAATTCGACATTCTGATAGCAATTTATCACGGGTACTGTTGGACAGGATACAAACGGACATCTCTAGTTGTCGTAGTTGGCTATCACCCTTTATTTCATATTCACTAAAATTTTGTCATTGGCAGTCGTTTGACGAGCCAGGAAATGTTGAATACAAATACAAAAAACCTAAAATTCTTCGCCATTGCGAAAGCTTACTCAAGATATCTTCATGGCTGTTGACGACGCGCTCATACTGCCTGTTAGCCATGTTGATCTCGTCACCCCACTTCAACTCCGCCGCTGACGCCAGACAGTTGTTCAGCTGTGCCCGCATTGCGGCTGATCCGGCCTTCTTGTCCTGTGCATTCCTGCCCATCATATCTAAACACATAGTGTGCGCGTGTGTAAGCAGAGTAGAACACAAAAGGAGGGCTCTCAACTAACTCTACGTAACTTCAAAAACCGACTACATGCGCGGGATGGCAAGGAGTGTTAAAAGGGTGGGCCAGAATTTCAGACGAATGCGCACGATTCCGTTTTCAGCTCCATGCACATTTCACTCTATTGCACACGTGCTTCCAGATCCCATAGGCACTCATGTTTGTATGTGCGCGTAAGCACGCTAGGCTCTGCGCATGTTTGCTTGCACGCTATGCTCTGCGCATGCGCACTCCAGTTCACACTTCCTGCGTCTGAGTTTGTTCTTCTTGCTATCTTGTTACTGTGCACGTCCATTATTCTCTTTGTAAATAATCCTAATACATTCCACAACTGTGTGTTCTTGTGAGTGGGAATGTAACACCATAGGCACTCATTCTGTGCACCATTTGTATCGCCTACTTTCAGCACTTTTCTTCTAGTTTCTTCTTCTTTGTATTGCTCAGCTGCCTTGCCACATTCTCTTTCTCTTGGTGACAACATTCGTCTAAGAACACACCAACATATCCACCTCCGAGAAGGTGTCTTCAAGAAACAGCCTCTCGGAGAACCACCGACTTCTTCACCACCGTTGATGTATGGTGGTTGACTGACAATAAGTTACATTGTGTTGGTGACTACATACCAGTACCGACGCGGCTGAAGAAATCTTCAATCTTCAGCTGCCTGGCTTGTCGTAGTTGCTTCAGGAAGCTCATTGCGTACACACTGTGGGTGTCTGCCCTGCTCTCCAGAGCCGTGTTTGCAGAGGAACTACAGAGCGAGTCAAGGCGGTGGTCATAGCATGCCAAACGCATGCGCACGCACACACACACACACACACACACACACACACACACACACACACATGCGCGCACGCACGCACGCACGCACGCACGCACGCACACACACACACACACACATACACACGCACGCACACACACACACACACACAAGCACGCAAGCACATGCATGGGGGGGGGGGGGGGGGCGAAATATTGGAGCAAGACAAACCGAGACTTGTGAACAAACTAAGGGTCTGCTGTGCTCGGCAATGGGATTTCACCAAGCCCGTCATGCATAAATGCAGGCATTCTAAAAGTGTAAGCAAACTAACTAAGTTGGCAACAGTGAGATATTAACATTATCAAAGAAACATACCAGCTGAAGTGATAGGCATAATTAGCAAAGGGCTCCAGTGGAACTTGGCAGCGCTGCGTCTGCTTGGCAGTCAGCCTGAAATAACAACACAACACGCATACGTCACGTGAAGCTGTGAACCTGCAAAGCAATGAGTCACTTCAGTTTATTCAGCTTGTATAACCTTTTCTTCTTCGTTTTGTCTACGTGGCCAAGCAAACGTCCTCTGGGAATGAAACACAATGGCTTGGGCGGTCTTCAAATATGTGGCTGATTTGGCCTTGGGTGGTTGTGTGGTGCCTATAGCATAGTGGAATAGAGCAATGGACCAGTAATCGGGACCAGGCCATGTGTTCGATACCCAGTATTGTGTCACATGACTTTCTTTCAAGTGTTTCAGTTTGAATCAACTTTCTGTGCAATTCCCCACTGAACTTTCTGGGTGAATTCAGTTTCTATCCACACGCAGCTGACGTACAACTTGCATGACATGTACCAACCGAATCACAATAGCGGTACCAACTTCAACCTGCTCATTGATCACATGTACTATGCACTATGGTCTGGCGTGGCAATAAAAACATGGAGCACGCTTCCATACCTGCCGCATTCCAATGTTTTCGGACACGTGACCATCCCTGATCATCATCAAATGAACCCTACAAGCCCTGTATCTCATACACCAGCACTGATTCAATATGCACCCGACCTACTTGGGGTTGGTACGGCAACAGTCCAGCACCATGGTTATCAGGCGCGGGTTCCTTTTCTGCATTTCGTAGTGGATGGCCTCGAGGCGTATGCACTTGCGCAGGTTGTTGCTGGTGTCCAAGTCGACCGGCACCAGGTAATTGTTTTTCGTCTCGTCCTCCAGGCCATGGCCGGCGTAGTAGAACATAGCGTACGTGCCCGCTCCGAGCATCTTCAGGAACGTCTTGATGGCGGCGATCATTTCCCGGAACGTCAGGTTGACAAACACCAGTGTCCTGTAGCCAAGGTCTTCCAGAGCTCGTCCAATCTGTAGGCAGCGTCACGGAGCAAAGTGTGATCCTACATCCACTCTTCATATAGGAATCGACACAGTGAAAGTGGATCAGTGATGGAGAGAGAGGGAGGGGAGAGAGGGGAGGGAGGAGAGGGAGAGAGAGAGAGAGAGAGAGAGAGAGAGGGAGGGAGGAGACAGGGAGGGAGGGAGGGACGCAGGGAGGGAGGGAGGGAGGGTGGGAGGGAGGAAGAGGGAGGGAGGGAGGAGGAGGAGGAGGAGAGAGGGGGGGGGGATGAAGAGAGGGAGAGATAAAGATAGGGGAAAATGTTACACGACTTTCAATCAGTTTTGTTGCGTATCGACTCACCGCCAGAACATCAGTCTCGGGATGAATGAGCTTGCGCTGCTCCCTGTAGTCACGGTTACCGATAAGCAGGGCGACCTTGGCATTCACTGCAGTACAGACATGCACAGCATTGTACACACACACACACACACACACACACACACGTACACACACACACACACACACACATGCACACACACACACACACACACACACACACACACGTGCGTGCACGCACGCATGCACACACGCACACGGTTAGAAAGCAACATTCCGAAGCAGGCTTAATTGCCCTTCATTGTGGTGTATCTGTCATGGTGTCGGCCAGCAAGTGCTACCAAAGCACTACTGACAGAATAGATTTTGAAAACTGGAAACAGCAAATCAAAGTCAATAAGACTCAGTATGACACAATCCTCCATTACCACTTGCCATGTAAACCTCACCAGCACAGGAGGGAGAAAGAAAGAAAGAAAGAACGAGAGAGAGAGAGAGAGAGAGAGAGAGAGAGAGAGAGAGAGAGAGAGAGAGAGAGAGAGAGAGAGAGAGAGAGAGAGAGAGAGAGAGAGAGAGAGATAGATAGAGAGAGAGAGAGAGAGAGAGAGAGAGGGACTTCCATGAAGTGAGAAAGCCGATGATTGATTGCTCAGGCCCAGCTTGAATACAATCGTTTATATAACAGACAGGTTTCGGGCTGTCCAATAGAGTGCTCAATACCGAAAGGCAGAGCTGGTTCAAACTGTTTTCTGATGATCGCTTAGTGCGTGAAACTCGGAGTAAAAACACTTTTTTCATCCTCTTATTATTGTTTACAACTGTTTATATTCTGGATACAGTTCAATGACCGTCTGAGGGATGAGGAGAACATGGTGGGGTTAGATACACATGCATCACTCCGGCAGCAACTGACTGAGCCGAGATCGACACACACGCGTACCTTCAACGTTGCCTTTCTTGTTGTGCCGCGTCTTCTCAGCTATACTCGTAACAAGTCCAAGCAAAGAGATCAGAGAGATAATAATTATGAGCATGCATGAGGACAGCACACACCTACTCGGCTCTATACGCACACTATCTACAAAGCAAGTACCAGGAGGTGCAAGAAACACTTTGCCCTCCACTCGGAGCTTACCAATACTCTGAGCATCCTTCAGGTTTTTGCCATGCAACGGAAAGCTGTCTTCACCTGCAGCCAACAACAGCCAGGGCAGCAACACCAACACATTGCAACCCTTAGTTAACAAAGCAAAGAAGCAACAGTGCTAACTGGTAAGTGAAATTCAATATTATGACACGAGCAGAGCCACATCTCCAGCAGAGCGCAGTTGCAATAGTGCTATATACAGCTACGAAGTGCAGTGGACTTAAGTGGCTCACCAATCAGGAACAACTGGCAGATGTTACTGCGCATGCAGCCGTGCTGGTTCTCCACCTTGCACCGATACTGCCCCTCGTCCCAGTCGCACACACGGCTGATGTTCAGCTTGGCCTGAGTCTGCCCGGGAATCTCCATGTCGTAGAAGAACCACTGGTAGTGAAGGTCTTCACCGTCTGCCTTGATCCCGATATCCACCTCGGCACAGAATCTCACACGTTTAATGGGCTCGGGTTGTTCCTTAATGACCGGGTGCCCTGCCGCACAGCAACAACAGTAGGAAAAGGAAAAAAAAGATAACTCACTCCTAGCCAACAGTGCAGCAAGCTGACATGTGTACATGCCCGATTGAAACGATCCTTGAGAGGGATTATGATTCGCGCCACAGGCATCGAGAGGACGTGTGTAGGGGCTGAAATCCCCACAAGGTCCAGCCACACAAGCCACGCCACCTGAAACCACACATGTGTGAGGCCTCACTCGAGTGCGTGTTGGGCCATACCGTGTAGGATTTTTGCATTTTTCTTCCATTTTCATCACTGATGCAGAAAATATTTTGCGGCCGTGTATGTGTCGATGAGGTTTTGTGGATTCTCTTGGGCGCGCACATTAGGCCCAGACAGATTCTTCTCCGCTCGCCTTGATATTTTGCCGCAAAATATTGCTGCGAAATCTTCGATATTTTGCCGAGCCTGGCACAAGCAACTCGATATTTTGCTCCATTTTGCTCCGGAAAAACGTGTATTTTATCTGCTTCCCGTACAATCCTGTACGACGTTTCATTAAAAAAAACGCAGGGTCGGTTTCTCAACACAGGTTTCCACGCACGTGTTCCTGATTTCTTCCAAAATCATGTCGATCTACAGTGAATCCCAGTGATATTTCGGGGACCTGATCTCGTCCTGGGCAGTGTATCCTGCTGAACGGGTAAGAAACAAAGAAATCCAAGTATCAGGCATCGGTTTTACCCAACATCTCGATATTTTGCTCCGATTTTGCCGGCAATTTCCGCTCTTTCAATTCTTTGATATTTTGCCGAAAGAATTGCCGGCAGGATCTGTCTGGGCCTAGCGCACATACACACGCGGGCAAGCACTTTGTTTCCTATCACAGAATATGCAACCTCTGTGATTTCTGGGCCAGTGTCCGCAGACACACGCTTAGATACGCATGTTTAGATCAGCTGCATCGTACTCTCTCTAATGTAGGGTGACACTTAGGCCTCCGCGGAATGTGCCGGCATAATTTCGGGAATTATCGGTGTGATTTTTAAAACGGGAATTATTGGCAATTTTTGTGGAATAATCGGTAAAATTTGAGCAATGCCCCCCTTTTTTCAATTTTTTTCCATTTATAACACCCTGATTTGTACCAAAAAGCTCATGATCCTGAAGTTGATCGCCCGGTATTTCAAAAAAGAAAGAAAAAAAAGCTTCCAGCCGAGTTTCACGCGAACCGTGATTTTTTTTGCCCGTATAAGTGGCAAAAAAACCGTGCGCGGTACGGTATCTGCAAAAAAAGGAAGAAAAAAAGAATTATTGTGAGAATTATTGGTGGAATTACGGGAATAATCGGTCGAAATTTTGAGCAATGCTCAAAAGAATTATCGGTAAAAATACGAGCATATTCCGCGGAGGCCTAGTGACACTACCTGATTCTGTTGACGACATCACACCCTTATCAAGTCACCAGAATCATCATTCCAGTGAACCACTCTGTCCACATACCGTATTTTCTCGGTTGTAAGTCGACCCCGGTTATAAGTCGACCCCGTATCTGGAGGTCTCAATTATGCGTTTTAAAGTTTTCACCCAACGAAGCATTACTAACCACCTCCTGCTACTAATACATCAACAAATCAGGTAAACATTCCTTACTGGAGGGTATACCGTCCCAATCCTTGAAAAAAATGCCAATAAACTGGCAAAAATGTGTACACATGGTGCACTCGTGCATGCAGTGAAGGTCATTTTTTGTAACATACTGATAGTTTGAAGAAGGGCTGAGGCTTCCTGCAGCTTCATCTGTGAAAAGAATTCGGGTGGACACACCCATTCCCATAGCGCTGCATATCACATCCGAACCAGTTCCGTTATTTTACAACGTTTCGGCTCTTGGCCATCATCAGGTAATAACAATGAATACCGTGGAAGCCACACAAGAGCAGTATATACGCAGAGTGTAGCGCCAAAAAAGATGCGAATTATGTCACCTAGTATGACAGAGAGAGAGAAAAAGGCGCAACTAGCACATCACGGAGGAGAAGCAGCAAAAGGTAGCGCGCATTGTGCTCTGTGAATGGCGTTGCACAGAGTGTAGCGCCAAAAAATAAAATGATGCGAGTTATGTCACCTCTATACAGAGGGGGGGGGGGGGAGAGAGAAGGTGCAACTGTGCACATCACGGAGAAGAACTCTGCGTATATATTGCTCTTGTGTGGCTTCCACGGTATTCATTGTTATTACCTGATGATGGCCAAGAGCCGAAACGTTGTAAAATAACGGAACTGGTTCGGATGTGATATGCAGCGCTATGGGAATGGGTGTGTCCACCCGAATTCTTTTCACATACTGATAGTTCCCGGTTATAAGTTGAATCCCGGTTGTAAGTCGACCCCCGCCCTTTCTCCTTCTATTTTTAGTCGTAAACGGTCGACTTACAACCGGAAAAATACGGTACGTCCAATTACGCGACCTAAAGCATGAAATACGAGCTATTAAAGCATGAAATGTCGGGAAATGTTGTGCAATGCTGCTACTCAGCTCCACCACATACACACACACTCACGCACGCACGCACGCACGCACACGCACACACACGCACACACACACACACACACACACACACACACACACACACACACACACACACACACACGCACACACACACACACACACACACACACACACACACACACACACACACACATACACACACACACACACACACACACACGCACACACACATACACACACCTGCTGGCCTGCTGACTTACCCTTGACAAGGCAGGTGACCTTTGCCGGCAGTGTGTACAGGTAGCCGGCGTCATTCTGCACCAAGCAGCGGAACATGGCGATGCCGTGCTTGCTCTTTGCCACCACGGAGAAGTTCTTGATCTTCAGCACGGGGTTGGTTTCTCCGGGCAAGTCCTGTCCACCTCTACGCCACTGGTACTTTGGCTTAGGTGTACCCTGCGCCAAGCAGTGCAGTACCAATGTGTCACCAGTGCGTACCTCCGTGTTCTCTGGCTGACTAATGATCTTCGGACATGCTGCATGGTACCACAGCAGCAACAGCAGCAGCAACAGCAGAAGTGGCAGTAGCAGCAGCAACAGCAGTAACAGCAGCAGCAGCAGCAGCAGGAACAGCAGCAGTAGCAGTAGCAGCCAGTAGCAGCAGCAACAGCAGCAGTGCATGCCAACAGCAAGCGCATATCAACATGCACGGCCAGGTCGATAGTCAGATGCAGACACAATCAGGAAGCCAAACACAACATCACCAGTGCTGCCAAATAATTTTCGCCCAAAATCGGACCCCCTTCACCGCCAAGGCTGGCCACATGGTGCGAATTTTTCTCCTTGGCAAATTTTTACAGAGAATTCAAAATATCGCCTAAATGTTATACGTCTGGTGTGAACCAATAACGAAACCCGAATAGACAACATAAAACACCATGAAAATTCGCTTCGTTGCCACGGTAACCCCAGAGTTGTCATGAATTTTGTAATGGGATGGTATTGATTTATTTGAATTCCGTATCTCAACAGTACATTGTACAACTTGGGAAGATCCGAATGGCATAGATACATAAACATAAAAGTGGAGTAGGTACTACAGCTGATCATTTTATCGCAGGTTGTGGGACTAAACTAATACCAGTATGCAAGTACACAAGAAATAAAAGCTGAATAAATATGACTGCATGACATTGGAGAAAAGCACCAATTAGAGCAAAACAAAGCGACACATCACTCATTGAAAAAATTTTCAAAAAGGAGCTGTTTTAACTGGGTACATTGTGGCCCGTCATTAAGAAGGCAGGCAAGATGGGCGTTAAATGCAGAAAACGTATTGCAAGACTTCATTTCAAAGGGCAGAGCATTCCAAAGTAAAGCAATGATGAGTGTGGTCGCACACTGACTCTGTATAGACTGTCAGTGTGCATGCCATCCAGCCTGATCCAGGCATGTTACTTTGCACTTCCACAGCCAGGCGCTAGCCTTTTTAGAAGCAAATGTACAGTGATTTGTGCCTTCAGTTGCGCTGAAAAGTGAAAGTACAGGACTTCTGCATAGGAAAGTAACGATCTCCAACATTTTGGCTGCTTTTCGGACGTTTCCCTTTTCGGACCGGTTTTCGGAAGAGCCTTCAAAAATCGGACACTGTCCGAAAAATCGGACGGTTTGGCAGCACTGCATCACTCTAAGCACTTGAGATTCGAGATTCGAGATATAACTCATGTGGGCCATAGCTAACATCATGTACTAAAACTATAATACAACGCATGAATACGCCCAACAAGCCGCCTGGTGGGATTATTACTTACTGTAGCCCTCAACAAAGTCCTCGCTGTTGACAGAGTCCTGTATGCATTGAGAGGCAAGACAATCAAATGACACAGAAACTACCAACCCATGCACAAGGAGAGAAACAGATAATGTCTAAAAAAATAGCAAATAGAGTCATCTAGTCAACTGCAAGTTGGTAATGTAATGCAGGGGATTCCCCCTATAGTATAAACAGTACGACTGCACTGAGTCACTCCACGGGGCAACCCAATATTCCCCAGTGACCATTGCTGCTGCTGCTGGGCCCATGTGAGCCAAGCCGAGCCAGCAATAGACCACTCTACTGTATAACACGTCGGTGCATATTCTTCCAATGGTGTGACTAGAAACAGGTACATGTGCAAGACCCTCAGGTGCCTATGTTTGTAAGTTGAGCATGACTGCATTGACGTATGGTGTCGGCCATGTACAACACCTACATGCATCAGATCACATGCACGATAAATCAACTTAAGTCTGGTTCTTGACCAGGATTCACGCCCAGCAATACCACCTTGACGCCAGCAGCATCGACTCACCAGCGTGGCGGCGACAATGGCAGTCTCCTGAAACCAACAGTCCAGGCCATAGGGCAGAGGGACGGTGTCGGCCGCTTCTGGTGACTCAGAGCCGTGCTCTTGGTCACTGGAGTGTATCAACTTGAGCTGATCGGGTAGCTGGACGCACTTGTCCTCCTTGGACACGATGCATCCCCTGCAGTTGTACTCGGCACAAGCAAGCAATGGAGCGCTGTGATGCGGGCAGACTTCTTCAGTGATGTACGCACGCTGACAGCCTCTCGCCGTCTTGACGGTCGTTGCCAGCGAGAAGAAGAGACCGCGCATGCCCTGGCGGGTCACCTCGGATGCGTCGCCAAGCAGCTTGCGAATGAGACTGGAGCAGCACTCTTTGAGTCGCTTCTGGCGAGCCGTGTCGCGTCCCAGGCTTGCCTCGCCGTCAGCTGACTGCACCACCAACTCTACACAGGTCGTGTGAAAGAAGATGAGCAAGTCAAACTCCTTGTTGATGTGAAGGCGAGCAAACCGCCTGTACAGGTCCGGACAGACCGGATAGCGTGCAACACTGCGCGCCACAAAGCGATAGAAGAAGGCCTCTGGCACAAACCCGATAGCTGAAAGCAAGCAGATGGGCGCGGGATCGTGCCGACTGAACCTGTAGAAAGCGTAGTCAGGCGGCTCGGCGCGCAGCAGAGACGGTACCATGTAGGACACATAGCACTCATTTGTGGCAACATCCTGCGCCAGCTGTTTAGCCTCAGATTCCACGGCAGCGGTCACTTGCAAAGGATCAACAGGGTTTACGTCAGCGATACGGACCTCCCTAGGTAGCTTGTCCCCGGTAGGCACGTCGGTAACATGTGCACCACTCTCACCAACTCCGCTGCCACCACCCATGACACTGGCCACAGCAGCAGGGGACGCAGTTGCAGCAGTAGCAGTAGCAGCAGCAGCAGCAGTGGCGTCGGCAGCAGCAGCGGTGCCAGCGGGTGCGAACGGTGTCAACTGTGCCTTCTCGGCATCGCCTAGATCATCGTACTCCAAGTGAGCATACCTTGCGATGGCTTCTGCCCGCTCTTCGTCGCTGACGGACTGCTTGCCATCAATGGCCAAGTTGGCATCTACTCGGTAGCTGGTGTGGAACGGGCACACAAGATCAAACTTGGCCATGATGGCCAGCAGCTTGGAGCGCTGCGGTCTCAGCTTCTCGTCCGACCAGATATCCTTGACGAGGTTGGCGTGCAGCAGACCGGTCTCGGTCACGCACTTCCACCACGCGGCCTGCTGCGGGTTGAGCTCGTCCATTGGCGGAACGGTGATGAGCTGCTTGAAGACATTGGCCAGCCACTGTGGGTCTAGCACAACCAGATTGTGTAGCTGTGGGCTGTTGCCAAAGTACACCAGGACGCCAAGGCGGTTGTAGAACTCCAGCATTGTTCTCAGCGTCTCTGGATCCCTGATCTCCACCTGTGCACCAAAAAAGAGCAGGAGAGGTTAAACATCAATGCTTCAGAATGTACGCTGCATTGCAAGTGCAAGCCATGGCAAAGGACCCTGAGTACACCCATCACCATAGATTTCTGTCGTAACGGATTGTTCAATATCCCCAAAACAAAAACACAACCAAAGTCGGTAGGAGTAGTTGGTAGGGGCAACCCACGATTAGCAATGTGTTTGGCGAAGTGTGTAGTGAGTAAAATCTTTCCAGCCGAGTCGTTCAGGTCAGTTTTGCATGTCATGCAGCATGAAACTGTGTATGGAAAGAGTGATGCTGTATGGTGTGTGTGTGTGGGGGGGGGGGGGGGTGCTCTTTGCTCTCAGATTACACGATACATCAGCGGCGGATCCAGCGATCTCTGGGGTTCCAGTATAGTCAAAACTGAATAGCTGATACATGCACATGAACATGCATATGGTTGCCAGTAATACATTTACGAAATTTAGGGGGTTCTGCGGAACCCCTCCTGCATCCGCCCCTGCACATGTCATTGGATGAAGAATGGATCAAGAACGGGCCGGTACCTTTGCCGCGAGTGCTTGGAAGTCCTTGAAGCTCATGTGAGTGACGTGCTCCTGGTGAACCAGTTTCTCAATGAGCAGCTCACACTTGAGCCACTTGATGGGCACGCGCTGTCTGGTACCTGGCTGGCGCATGGCATGGCTGCGGATGGACTGGCGCAGCAGAGCCACTTCAGGATCTTCTACGCCTGAGCCAGACACACTGTTGTCGACGAAAAAGAACGGCCGGCTCAGGTGCAGACCGTATGCCTTGCTGCCCAGGTGCTTGTCCAGTTCCTGGAAACAGGATACAGGAGTACCCACACATGCACGTTTGAAAATTTACACAAATATCACACAGCAATGGTACAATGAAGTTCTTCTTCTTTTCCGTTACTGAACACGAAACTCTGGGTAATGGCAAAGAAGGACTTGGTTTTGAGACACCTGTTTACAAATGCATGTAGTGCGTGTACAGACTGAGTACCCACGCACATGTTTGCAAAACACAACAAAACATGTCGGCCCCAAAAACAGTTGTCATGAGCAGAGTTGACGTGGATTTGAGTTTCCAAGCTCGTTACAAGGTCAGTGCACTGCTCCAGTGCAAGGTCCAGGGTTTCGTAGCTCCAGGACTGTGCATTGTCCAGTGCCTTGTAGTTCTGCGGCTGCGCAGTGTCCAGTGCTAACAAACTAACGAGGCCAGATATCACCATCAAGTATGACTGTACAAGAAAGAGAACTGGATATATACAGCAACAGAATAGCAAGAAGTAAGCTTAAAAGAAACCGTGCTCATCCAAAGATAGTGTACGCTCCTAACCTCGCTTTTCTCGATGATGGCTTTGGCGAGCATATGGTGGCCGCGTTTGGCCACATCATCTCGATGAGTACCGACCACTAGCACAGGTGGGTCCACATATGTGTTACTTCCTAAACAGTAGGCGGCAAATCAATGGACACGCACACACACGAGCGTGCACACACACACACACACACACACACACACACACACACAAGCGGAACCGATGAGAGTTTCGGTTTCACACACACACACACACATGTACATAATCTTCCAGCACCCGATTCACCCACACGTACACATGTCAAACAAAAGCTGGGTGCATGACTTTTCAAAAGAGCCGTGTACTCTATTGAAACCAACGTCATAATGATACAACAGCTCCATGCACTGCTTGCAAGCCTGCCTTCCTGCCTGCCTGTCTGTTTTTCTATCTGTCTGTCTATCCCCCCCCCCTTTCTGTCTCTGTCTCGCGTTCGCTCTCGCTCTCTCTGTCTTGCTCTCACTCTGTCTGTCTGTCTGTCTGTCTGTCTGTCTGTCTGTCTGTCTGTCTGTCTGTCTGTCTGTCTGCCTGCATGCCTGTCTGTCTCTATATGTCTGTCTGTCTGTCTGTCTGTCTGTCTGTCTGTCTGTCTCTGTCTGTCTGTCTGTCTGTATGTATGTCTGTCTGTCTGTCTGTATGTCTGTCTGTCTGTCTCTGTCTCTTTCTCTCTCTCCCTTTCTCTCTCTCTCTCTCTCTCTCTCTCTCTCTCTCTCTCTCTCTCTCTTTCTTTCTTACCTGCACCAGGATCAGACAGACTAGAGTTGTCGTCAGTTTCTTCTCCATCGTCAACAACAGCATCGGCATTGTTCAACGGCGACCTTCCCGACAGTGCACTGCCAGTAGCCGTGTACACGGCTGACATCCAGCTATACAGATAGTCCAGGTTAGTCGACAGAAACTCGTCCTTGTCGATCACGCGCTCGTGGCCATCCTCGCTGAAGCGTACCTGCGCTTCGCCCTGCAGGCTCTTGGCCATGTTGTGCACAAGCAGGTAGACACCGGACTCGCTCATGAACACCGAGTGCGTGTTGTAGTAGACTGGTTGACCGGCAAAGTCATAGATACGCACCAGCACCTGCTCCGATGCACAGTCCACCTGACAGCACAGTGGTAAAGGTTCAGGGGGGGGGGGGGGGGAGGGGGTAAGGTTGGCGTTTTGGTTGACAGCCTACACACAGACTATCATCGGCAAGATAATCATGTCAGAGTTTCTGTAACGTTTGCTAACATGTGTTACAATTTCCTTAGAGGCCACTGTCATTTCATTCAGTGTCAAAGACTAGTTTTAAATTATTTGAAAACCAAGGAGTCAAATGAAGGCCTCACCTGAACTTCCTCCAAGAGCTTCGACACCATCTTCTGCAGCTCTGGTGTCATCTCAATGCTTTCGCTGTGAGCTAGTTTACCAGCTCCTCCAGTTTGAGACTCTGGACTCTCACCAGCTTCCAGCGACGCCGGTTTCGCGAGTGGAATGCCGTCGGGCTCCGCGAGCAACATCGGCTCATCAGTGCGGACGGAAAACTCCTCCACAGCCTCCTGCCGGGTCAGTTCATGTTCCTCTGGCCCATCGGGGCCAGCAAACACATCAACGCCACTGCCGCCATCAGTAGCAGCCGGCTCTTCGCTACTTCCATCAGTCTCTTCGGCGTGCACATCTAGCTGAGAAGCAACGGATTCCGTCCGGACTTTCTCCATCACTTCCTGGGCACTGGGCATGTCCTCGGACTCGGTGGCCTTCAGCTGCTCCTGCTGCTGTCGGCTGTGCAAGTGCGATGCCACTGCCCGTGCCACCTCACCGCGTGTGAAGTTCTCTCCGCCGTGCACATCCTCTACAAACATGCAAGCATCATCGGCCGAGAACTTGTACTCCAGAGCGCCGGACGTGAGCGAAAACGTTGCCGTGGCGATGTCGATGCCGACCGTGCTGTCGCTCTGCTCAAACGCCTTCTTGAGTAGCGAGCGGATCAGACTGCTCTTGCCCGTCCTGTCCTGCCCGATCACCATCACACGCACTCGGTTAGTGCAGATACTGCCCTCGCTCAACGCGATCGTGTACGTCTGCACAGCATTGGTACCCTGCGACACTATCTCATCTGGAGCTGCAGAAGACAAACAAACAAACAAGAGGAATTGTAGAGACACTGCGACATGGATAAGACACGACCAGGGAGCATGCACAGAAAGCAACCCTGGTGGGTTTCGGTCACGTGAAAATCTTTTGACAGAGGCAGAGCCTGCGCAGGCCTACCACTACAAACATCGGACGGTATCTTCGTACATGATATTACTACTATACTCATGCTGACACACTTCAAAAAAATAGTCTCTCTGTCTTTTTGTCTGTGTGTTGAACGTGGCCACAAGTTTGAAAGCATGACCATCTGGGTGTGTATGTAAAACAAATAGGGATTCATTGGTAAGAAAAAGCCACTTCAACCCCCCCCCCCCCCAGATGGTGTAGACCAGGCTAAAATTTGTGGCGGTCAATTCATCAGCCTTGCAAGCTGTTGAATAGTGTAATCCCAGCACAAGTTGCTATGTCTAACATAGCTGTTCGCTATCATCGCTTCTGCAGTGGGCAGGTCTGAGGTCTGAGGTGTGTGCGTGTGTGTGCATGTGTGTGTGTGTGTGTGTGTGTGTGTGTGTGTGTGTGTGTGTGTGTGTGTGTGTGTGTGTGTGTGTGTGTGTGTGTGTGTGTGTGTGTGTGTGTGCGTGGGTGTGTGTGTGTGTGTGGGTGTGTGGGTGTCCGTCTGTCTGGCTGTCTATCTGTCTGAGGCTGTCTGTGTGTATGTGTGTGTGTATATGTGTATATGTATGTATGTGTGTGTATATGTGTATATGTATGTGTGTGTGTATGTATGTGTGTGTGTATGTATGTGTGTGTGTGTGTGTATGTATGTGTTTGTGTGTGCGTGACAACATACATGCACAAACTGACCTGCCTGCGAGACGGTAACGGTCAGTGACATGACCGACGTCAAGTCGTTGGAGATGCGGCAGCTGTACTTGCCCGGCCGGTGCGTGACAAAGCGGTGCTGCGTGGCGCCTGGCCGTGGCTCACCATTGCACAGCCACTGGTAGCGGATCACCGGGTACCCACTGCCAAAGCACACCAGCCGGGCGGCCGAGCCTGGTGGTATGTCGCATGCCGTGGGCTGGAGGTGTATCTCCGGGGGACTGGGGTCCACTGGATAGAGGCACACAAGCGGTCCAACACAATAGCACTTAGAATTCCTCTGAGGAATCCACCATAAATGAAGTATTTAGACTTTTAGGGGCCGTCCGTAAATATCGATGTTTTTTTCAAGACAATATTTGTTCATTTCTCCCCAGACCCCCTCAAAACGAACATACACATGTTTATGCAAGGGATCGATATTTTTTAATGAAGTTCAATTTCCTAATGAAACGTGACCAGCTGCCACTATAATTTCACCGTACACCTAGGTTTATGTTGCCACGGTCGCACAACCTTGCCATGGCTATGCTAACGAGGTTGACTTTCACTTTGTGTAGGTCATAAACTACATGTTCGAACAGCGCCCGTCCATAGAGTTCGATATTTTTTTCTGCAAAGACAAGACGAACAGGGCCCAAACCCCCTCCCCCCCCAAACGAACGAATATCTTCTCTAAAAAAACATCGATATTTGTGGATGACCCTTAGTGTCATTTACTAGCTAACAATTCCGGTTGTGTGTAATGAACCTTTCTTTTACAGTCAGACCTCGCTTATCCGGTCCTCGTTTATCCGGATCCCTCGCCATCCGGAAGAAAATCGCTGGTTACCGATGTGCAGCATATGTTATGCATACAACATAACCGGACCTCGCGATCCGCATACCGGTGCAAGATTTTGCGTACAAACTGGTTAAAATGTGTACAAAAAGCTTCGTCGTATCCGGTTGCATGTGGCTTGCAGAAGCTAGAATCAGGAAGTTGTACAAGCAAACGAGGTCTTTGACCTGCTGGGTACATGCAGACAGCACTCAGCTGCATGCACTTGTCATTTTTCTGGCTTGTTTTACATACTGTGCACGCTAGTTGTACTGCATAGGACCCGTCTACATGTATGTACGATGCCACTGCTTTTGACATGCCACATGCATATACAGTATGTGTGTTCAGTTATCTGGTTCCCTCGCCTATCCGGATATTTTTGTGGAAAACAGATGTGTGCGGTTAAGCGAGGTCTGACTGTACTACACAAAATTAATACCAATTCGTACAGCTATTTTCTTGTTCTTTTGCCATAACACGCAAGCCCGATGTTCCTTCTTTACTTCGCTGTAAAACTCGCGCTGACCATCCGAAAGCTGCCGGAGATACGTCAAGCAGTCTGCCAGCGACACCGGGCTTTCACTTGTTGAAAAGTGGGCTGCAAATACTTGTAGCTGTTCTTTCAATTGCTGGGGGCTAATGTCATCACCATAAGCTGCCAGGACTTCCTGAAGCAATCGCTGGGGGCTAATGTCATCACCATAAGCTGCCAGGACTTCCTGAAGCAATTGCTGGGGCTAATGTCATCACCATAAGCTGCCAGGACTTCCCGAAGCAATTGCTGGGGCTAATGTCATCACCATAAGCTGCCAGGACTTCCTGAAGCAATTGCTGGGGGCTAATGCCATCACCATAAGCTGCCAGGACTTCCTGAAGCAATTGCTGGGGGCTAATGCCATCACCATAAGCTGCCAGGACTTCCTGAAGCAATTGCTGGGGCTAATGTCATCACCATAAGCTGCCAGGACTTCCTGAAGCAATTGCTGGGGCTAATGCCATCACCATAAGCTGCCAGGACTTCCTGAAGCTGCTTGGAGTAGTCCTTGTTGTTAGCAGAAGACGCTGGCAGCTCCTCTAGGTTGTGGTAAGTACGGTAGCCGGGCTGATCAAACCTGTCTTTGATACCGGAGGTAGCGGTGAGGTCCAATGCTTGAAATTAATAGGAACGATAGAGCTCTTCGATGGACTCATGATGGTGTCCATCTCCAGTGCCAACTTCAAAACGAGCCGGTGCTTTTCTCTTCCTTGGAAGAGATGCCTCTGAAACACCAGTCGACTTCCGATCATTCTCCACTTTACTGAGGAACAAAGTGAACGCTGCACTGGTTCTCATCGACTGCAAGGTCTGAACTGTAAGGGAGGCGGTTTCCTGGCCATCAGCTCCGGAAAGAGTCTGCTTTTTCGAAGTGCGACTTAGGTTGTCAGTCAGCCGGAGGATTACAAGGCAGAGCTGAAGGCCAAAGAGCAAATTGAAAGATAGCATCTGGCATTGCGCGCCAATAATGCGACTTCTCACATCCGGATCCAGCCTTCCAGCACCAAGGCATTCGTCCCAAAGCTTGTCGAGGTCATTATAACTTTGGAGAATACTGTCGATGGCATCTGCCCGGACTGTCCAGCGTGTTGGGCAGAATGCTCCGATACCAGTGCTGGATGAGCTCTCAGGATCTCACGACTCAACTTTTATTCTCTCCAACGCAGCGTCACGCTTTGGAGAGAAACGGACAAGTTTTGCGAGGTCAAAGCCAACATCCATGGCATCCCGAAAAAATTTGGACTTCTTTAGTGTGTCGCCAACAGCAAGATTGAGAGCATGTTCATAGCAGTGAGTAAAAACTGCTCTCCTCTCCTCTCCTCTCCTCTCCTCTCCTCTCAGCTGTGCGGCAACACCATTCCTGCCACCAGTCATGTTAGAGGCTCCATCGTAACATTGGCCGCGGCAGTCAGACAACGGAAGGCACATTCTCAGAAGCATATCATCCTTTATTGCAGAGACCAAGAGACCAAGAGACCAAGGTGTTGGAGTAAATGCCGCGCCAGACACTTCATACAAGCCAATGAAGTCTTCTTGGTCGTGAAGTGCTGCATCAACCCACCGGATGCACAGCGTGAACTGCTCCCTGTTGCTCGAGTCGGTGCACCCGTCTGCCATGATGCAATAATACCGGGTGTGTTGAATACAAGAACTAACTTAGCGGAGAAGCTGCAGGCACATAATCTTGAGGCACTCGTTCTGGATTTGAGGAGAGACATCCCGTATATTCTCTATTGTAAGCACAGGTCTCCATTACTAGCACAGTCTCTAATTCTAGCACACTGTGAGCATCTTTCCATACATTATATAAGCACAATCTCTATCCGCATTAGCACGGTCTTGGTGGAAATCAATTCTGCATGCATGATATCTAGCATGTATTTCTTCTTGCTCTGTATGGATGTATTGGTTGAAAAAATATAAGCACGGTCTCCAATATAAGCGCGGCCTCCAATATAAGCACGGGGTAGAGGGGAGTTGAAAAAATATAAGCACAGCGCTTATAATAGAGAATATACGGTATGTATTCGCCTTCTTCTCCAGCCACGACAGAATACCCGGACAGTCTGACGAACGCAAACGAAAAAGCTGCAAGAAGTTGCTGTCTGCAACATCACCGTGGCCTCGTGGCGCCAAACCTTGACGGGCGAGGAAACGTACATGCTCTAGTATCCGAATGAACATTGCTCTGTTCTCAGCTTTGTTCTGCTGATGTTGCAAACTCAACAACTCACCGACGTCTTTACTTGATTAGGCATTTTCTCTGTTGCCGTAAAAGCTTTGCTGTGGCTAACACTCAATTGGTGTTTCGTGAAAGCAGAACTACCATCTTTCCAGTAGGAAAGCCTCTGCTAATAAAGGCAGCGTTTCGTGCTGGCCAGAAACAGCTTCTCAAAATCTGCTTTCATGCAGACATAACACAAAGCTACATCTCTTCCAAGGTCATAGTGCAGCCAGGGAAACTTGGCGCACCACTCTGAGCGGAACGATCGCTCCTCCCCCTTCTTTCCAAAGGCTCGTTTGGGGAAGTCAAAATCTTTCGGCGGTTGAAACTTCTTAGGCAACAAGTTGTCTTCCATGATTATAGAGCAAATGACACACTATTGTAGGATGCAAGACATCGGTGCTCAGTTGTCAACCATTTATCTACCCCTTGTTACATTGTTCGTACTCCGTATTCCTTGACATCCTTACCACTTTCAATGTCAGCTTTTGTTACCACTTTGTGTGTGCAGTATTTACCAGACCTTGTGTTAATGTGCAGATGTGCGGGTACCAAAATTCGTACAAACCAATCCTGTCAAATACGACAGTCTTGACACATCGCAGGCGTGAAGTGAGCATGCTGACCTTTTTTCTCCTTTTTTTTGGCGAAACATTGGTCCGGCGGCTGCCGGACCTGTTCCTACGCCCCTGCAATACATAGGGTTAACGTCGCATACAAGCCACATAATACCTTTCAGGTCCTTGAAGGACTTCTCCGGAACCAAGTCATCCAGCATCTCGGCGACATCCTGTCGATTGATGGCTAGCAAAGCTCTATACAGCTCAAAGACAGTGCAGGAGAGATGCTTCTGCTTGCCAGATCCTGCAGCGCCGTCACTGGATCGACTACCAAGACGTGCGAACAGCAACTGAGGGGCTCTGCTTCCCTCTTTCTCGAGCAGCTTCAGAGTCTGGCAGTGAAAAGCAATGGGAAGCAATTGCAGTGAGATCAGAGGTGCACAGGTCATTCTGGGCCATTGGATCATGGGTCAATGGGTCATGGGTCATTGGGTCATTGGGTCATGGGTCATTGGGGCATGGGTCATGGGTCATTGGGGCATGGGTCATTGTGTCATGGGGTCATGGGTCATTGGGTCATGGGTTATAGGGTCATGGATCATCGGGTCATGGGTCACTGCGCAATCCGGCCTGCAACTTAGACAGTCAAGTACCTGCTACAGAATCTGAGCAGGTACTTTCTCCGCAGAAAACAACGCCCAAGAGACCACTGAGTTTGAGAAACCGATGTTCTGTTGCTAGCATAATCCCCGTGTAAGGCTGTATGCCCTCTCAAACTATGACACACATACACACGCACACACAAACGCAGCCCTCAGTTTTGTTAAAGGGGAAGGTCACCCTAAATTGAAAACTTCACAACCTGTAGCGAAAAATGCACTGATTCCAATGGTGAAAGTCCCAGGTTGATCAGAGCAGCCGTTCCCGAGTTATACATGTTTCAAGTTTGCACTAAATTTGGTGACATCATGTGACGTCACTAACTTGCCCAGAGTCCCAGACCAGGCCGGATTTATGACGTCAGAGAGATAGACTTGGTATGGGAGTAGATGGGGACATTTCAGCATTTTGGCTCTCCATTGCCCCAAAGAAGTCGGATCTTTTTCAAACTTCGGTGTGGGACACATGGCACCCTACCGGTATCCCAACTGGAAAAAAATCTAGTATGAAATTCACTGTTGCAGAGAAACAAGAAAGAAATTGTTTTTCCCTATCTACTCCCATACAAAGTCTATCTCTCTGAAGTCATAAATCTGGCCTGGTCTAGTCTGGGCAAGTTAATGACGTCATAGTGATGTCACCAAATGTAGTGCATATGTCAAGCAGGTATAACTCTAGAACGGCTGTTCCGATCAACCTGGGACCTTCACCATTGGAACCAGTGCATTTTTAACCACAGGTTATGAAGTTTTCATTTTAGGGTGAACGTCCACTTTAAAACATCAATCAGCACAGGAATCGGTTTCTCTCATTTTTAGTTGACCGATAAGTAGCTTTGGTCCCTTGGAGAATGCTGATAACGATTGGAGACCCCAACTGTGCAGCTCTAGAATCAACTATAGTGTAAGCAGTGAGTGATTGCATCCTCTCAGTCTCAGTAGTAGCCTGATTCCGTGTGAAAACCCAACAAAAACCCAGTTCAACGCTCCAGCCAGCATAAGAAGGGAGCAAAGAATGAACAAACACAGCTGATTGGCCTATGAGCTGATCAGGACAGTGCAACCCACCTCCTCCGGCACCTTGAGGCAGAGTCCAAGTGCGTACCAGTTCTGGAAGTGGGACTTGCGATACAGCACTTGACACAGCGAATCAATCACATCTGCACGCATGTCTCCAATCCTGAGATCACTCTCCTGCGTTGCGACTACAAACAGACAAAAAGAACACATACACTCACAGCGTTGCTCTCCAGAACTGCATCGTGCCACATGCCTTACATTGCCGGACTGGCAAAGACGTATTCATGCTCCTGTTGGTGTTTCAGACTTTTCCCTTTCCATTCCCTGAACTAGTGATTATTTGTTGGTGTTGTGACTTGTGAGGCAACAATACATCCAGTTAATGCTCGGGTGGCTCTCAGTCTGGAGTTGGTAAAAAGTTATTAATAACGTTGAGTAGACTTCCAAATTAGGAAGTGGCATCGCCAGTCAATTTTCGTTTGGACTTTTCTCCTTTTCAGCTCCTTCAAACAGATGAGTGTTGAATGCAGTAGAATTATCTTACCTTTCCCTGAATAGGAGTGCAACGGTATGGGCAAGATCTTCACGCAGTCAGGGCGCTCAATGGACGCAAGTGTCTTGCGCAGCGTCTCTAGATCACCGCGATGGTGCGTGTGCCAGTGCAGCAGCAGCTCGAGGGTGGGATCACTGGCATCTCTGAACGAGTTCGGCGCCGGCTTATAGTCATAGTGCAGCCTGCGTGCGAGCTCCTTCCAGTTGTAACGAGTGCGAGGGTTCGTCTCGGCGTTCAGTAGCTCACTGAGCTGGTGAATCTGTCGCCGCCGAAGCCCACAGATCTCTGAAGGAAGTTCACTGCGCTGCACTGGCATGATGGGTCCTCGGAGACCTGAGCCGGCAGTTCTTTCCTTCGGCTTACTGGTGGTGTGAGTACCTGGTTCGCGCAATAATCATTGAAACAAAACAACAACAAACAAAAAACATAAAGAGCCCAACAGTGATTTCAGAGACACCCTGACACAAGTAGACTCCTACTGTAATGAAGAGGACACATTGTGCTGGGAGCTTTGTGTAGTAACATTGAACGAATATGCAATGTGTTGAGAATGTGCATAAAAGGAGGAATGAAATAAGAGCAATTGTGCCCAGCTCAATAGAGTTCCTAGCTGGTTTTCACGTTGTAATCATCAATGGACAAATAGTAGCTAAATATTAATAGGAACAGATTTTTTTAAGAAAGTTCGCAACATTTAAGCTCGTGCTTTCCCCGCCAACTTGACTTGACACTTGATCGACTCATAACTGCTAGCCAGAGCACAAGAGAAGTCCATCGAACCTTCGACTCGGCAAACCTACAGGAAACACCACTCCCTGCTCAATACAATGACCGAGGGTCCTCAACATCTGTTCTACACAACCAGGAGTGACACTGACTCACGGTGCTATCTGGTGTTCACGAGGTGTTTGTCACCCTGGAAACTGAGCATCTCTGTGAGTTTCCATCCCTGGTAGTGGTTTGGCCTGGAGACCACTATAATTATTATAAGTGCAGTTCTTCAGGCACAATCTCCCTCAGTCTACTCAAGATCAGCTCATGAGGAGTGAACTCAGCTTCAGCCTGGTCTACATCACACAGCTTCTTTTTTTAAGTGAATCCCCAAGTTTTGGTCTTTTTCTTTTTTTTCTTCTCTTTTACATTTTCAGGGCTTTCTCGAATACACACCCGGCGCGCCACATACTCCGGCATGCACTGGCTGCTGTAACCACCTAGGGGAATGAATGAAAAGTCAGAAGGAGAATGAAAAAGAGAAAAGCATGTGTGACCATAATCGTCAGGAATGGAACTCGAAACCTCTCGACTGGATATCGACTGCACATGTGGGACACACACACACACAACACACACAACACGTGTACACACACACATCCCTCCCCCCCCCCCCCCCACCACCACACACACGTATGCATGCACACAATAAGGAGACAATCAACACCTAACCTCCCACAAAGCCACGGAAGCGAAGACGGGTGTTGTGCAGCTCGCCTTCCCATAGACTGTCCAACATGTGCTGGTTGGTAATTTGATCACCATGAGCATCGACAAGAATACGGAGAGCACGTGCTACACGCTTCTTGTTGGATGTGGCCGGGTCTATAAGAAGTCTGGCAATGGATTCTTGGTCAGGTTTGGACAATTTCCACTTTGGCAACATCACAGTCCACCACTTCTCCACCTTCTCGTTGCGAAGCTGGCCCAACTCCTTGGATAACCATTCAATACCGTGCTGTCCAAGTGGCTCCTGTAGTGGCTGGCGAGTCACCGTCGTATGCTCACTACTCACTGGCGTCGCTGATTTTGGGGCTGGTTTTGGGGCTGGTTTCGGAGCTGGTTTCGGAGCTGCTGTCTGCGATGTGCCCGTACCTAATAAACGCACGCATGCATAAATATACACACGCACACACACACACACACACACACACACACACACACACACACACCGACGACGACGGCGGCGGCGGCGGCGGCAGCAGCAGCAACAACACAGCACGGCCATGGCTGGCAATCACCCATATCTCTACATTATTGGCAGTCTCAATGACATGCTATGAGATTTTTGACATAATAATGAAAATAATAGTAATAGCATAGCAATAGTGCCTCATCAAAGCCTGGAATGAACTGCCAGCCACTCTCCGCCGCGATGCACCGTCTGCCAAAGGGATGCATCATGCAGCAGTTGAAGGTTCTGACCTATCGCTACCTGAAACGGTCGGGTTGGTCATTGGCCACGGACATCGCCCCCTAGGCTACTGCCAGTACGACCCTGTTCATGTTCTCGGAGCACTCCCTTCTCATCAAACTCCCAATCCATCTGTCTTTATCTCTCTCTAACTCTCCTCCATTCTCACTAATCTTTCGTCAAAACTGCACGGCACTCAGCCTCTACTTTCGCCTCAGCATCATGATCTTGATACTGCTATCTTTGTACTTGTTTGCGTACTTGTTTGCACTCATATCTTGGAATACCGTACTCGCGCGATTAGAGCCCTCTCTTGCATAGTGCCCTAGTCTCCAAGAGCCAGTGAAAAATAAAGCCCTCTCTTGAATAGTGCCCCCCCCCCCCCCCCCCCGGTCTTGTAACCAAGCCCATGTGCAAGTTTGGTGTTCTTTTGCTAATGTTCTTGGCCATTGCTTTGCACTGGTGTTTTCAGGAACAAAATCGCATGTCTCGTTCCCGTTTCTGTGGAGTCGTGAGCGTTTACAGTACACTTTAGGCTCTGTTTTCCTTTGTTTTATGCTGGATGACACAAATGTACCAGCAATGAAAAAATAGTGCCCTCTCTTGAATACTGCCCCATCTGTGATGGACATTGAAAAAATAGTGCCCCAGGGGCACTAATCGTGCGAGTACGGTAACTCGCAAACTACCAAGTTTCCTGGTTTCCTCCCCTCCCTCCTCTCTTTCCTACCCTTAGAGTCCTTGCTCTCCTGCTCCCCGCCCTTCCACTCCCCATGTTGTTTCCTGTGGTGCACATGTGCAGCTGTGATGCCGAGACCCTTGGTCAGCTTCACTTCACAGGTCCCACCCACTCCGTCCTGCTGGATATGTACCATTGTGTCGAGTCCTCCTGCTCATTTTAGTTCATCGTGCAGTGAGTGTTCAATAGTAAAAAAAAAAAATAAAAAAAAAGTTTTTGCAAAGGACTTCATCAAAGATGCTCTTGTGCGGAGCACCAAACCAGTGTATGCCACTCCATGGCAAAACACCTCGGGTGATGACGTCATCCCATTACCCCTAAACATGAAACGGCATCATCAAGAGTACATAACCCCGCAAGAGTGTGCAACTCCACTATGGGTGCTGTCCCGACAAAATTTCACGATGACGTCATCTTTATGATGCAATACGCACTGTATACGTATTATCAGACGTACCCTGAACCTGTGGTAGACAACGCCCCATTTGATCCTGTACAAACTATAAATGCAAAGAAAAGCGTGTGATGTGTGACACCCCGTACAAATGTCGCAAATCACTGGTGCAAGGAGTATTGCATCATAAAAATGACGTCAACTAGAAATTCTGTGTGGACAGCAATGTATGCAGGAGTCACAGTGCACATTCTTGGGGGGGGGGGGGGGGGGCGGGGTACTCTTGGCATCCGATTGCTACCCTAGTCTTCAATAGAGAACAGTGTGGTCAAATGTAGAAACTAGATATAGGTGAGGCAACCACAATACATGTACAGTCAACTTTGCGTACAACCACACTCGGCGGCGGGACATCAGAAAAGTGTCCTTATACCCGAAGTCTCATCATATATATATACAGTTGGATGGGAATTTGCTCTGGGCATGGAAACTCTGTCGTTATTCGCGAATTGTCGTTATATCCGCAGTCGTTATTAGCGAAGTTGACTGTATAACCAAAAGCATGCCGCACGTTTTCCATGGTATGAATCAGTGTGTCCGTTTCTATCTGTTTCCCACCAGATGGTGAGGTTTTCCAACCAGTTGGTGAGGAAAACAGAAAAACAGGGCATACCGGATAACGCAGGTCTACCTATATTTTCAAATCGTCTTGGAGCATTAAATTATTTTAGAAATTGATCTTATTTTAGCACGAGGGGGGGGGGGTGGTGGAACGCATGGCATATACGCACTGGTACTCACAAGACTCAATATACACGCAACTTACCAGCCAGCGGTTCTTTCTTCACCAACCCAAACTGCCTAGCAAGTTCTGTTTCAGCTGTCTCATCTCGCTTCCTGCCCCGTATAGTACGTGGTGGTTTATCCGAAGCTTCAGTGACTTCAAGTTCCAGCTCCTCCACGTTGTCCTCTATACACACACACGCACGCACGAACGCACGCACACACACACACACACACACACACACACACACACACACACATGTAGGCACACATGCACACAAACACACAAGCATACACACACACACACACACACACACACACACACACACATGCGAGCAGAAATACACACAAACACATACATAGATACATACATACACAAAATACAGTGTGATGGAAAGTTGGAAACTCTCTACTCTAGTAACAAAGGACAAAAGTCTGTAACAAAGGATGTGTAACTGTTATCACGTTCCCATGGGTCAGATAAGCGGAACGCTGCCTTCATTATCATACCATTACGTTTGCACACTCAAAAAAGTTTTTTCACGACTGAGCGTAGCGAAAGAGTGCAAAAAAACGTAGTCTTCACTCACAAATATGGTCGTGCATTTGCTCTTGTTCTGCGCAACTCCATTGAACCTGCCATCGTGGTCTTTTGTTTTCCTCGTGGTACTTGAAGTTTCCCGCCCACCTACCCCGGTTTCAGGCGTGTCTTCCACTGTTCTTCTTGATATTCTATGCCGATCCGTGTGGCATATGACATGATGCGTGTGGCATATGACATGATACGTGTGGCATATGACATGATGCGTGTGGCATATGACATGATGCGTGTGGCATATGACATGATGCGTGTGGCATATGACATGATGCGTGTGGCATATGACATGATGCGTGTGGCATATGACATGATGCGTGTGGCATATGACATGATGCGTGTGGCATATGACATGATGCGTGTGGCATATGACATGATGCGTGTGGCATATGACATGATGCGTGTGGCATATGACATGATGCGTGTGGCATATGACATGATGCGTGTGGCATATGACATGATGCGTGTGGCATATGACATGATGTGTGTGGCATATGACATGATGCGTGTGGCATATGACATGATGCGTGTGGCATATGACATAATGCGTGTGGCATATGACATCATGCGTGTGGCATATGACATGATGCGTGTGGCATATGACATCATGCGTGTGGCATATGACATAGCCCATTTTTTACATACAGTTTCTTGTTTTCTCTATTCTTGGGTCAGAAAGGTGTGTTTTCCCTCTAGCCCGGTTGAGCGGTTGTGGCTAGGAATGTGGGAAGTCTTTGTTTTCAGGCGTTCTCCTGCTGCCCAGTCACCCATGTGCACCACTGACCATGCTGTTTCTTCTGATGTTGTGGCCCTTTCTCCCACATGCTGGCGGTTTTTTGACTGATTCAGGTGTTTTCCGCTATTTAGCTATTTAATATGTGGCTGGGAGAGTGGTTTTCTTCTGCTCATTTCTGGAAAACCACTACGGTGGTGACTCGGTGTGATGGCTCCGGTAGGCAACTACTGTAAATATACAAAATTTCGGCGCTGCAAAATTTCGGCACTTCACGATTTTTGACATTTCGGCGGCTATTTATTTTCGGCGTGGGGTAGAGGGCATGGTATTGCGACAGATGCTGTGAAAATTTCATCGGCGTTTTAATTTAGGCGTTTTGGGTCGGTGCCGAATATAGCCGAAATTAAATAGCTGCCGAAAATTTGTATATTTACAGTACCCCATGTACTGAGCAGCTGCTCTGTGAGTGAAAAACCACCACACTCAGTCCCCGGCTGTGTTTTGAAACCAACTTTCGTATGGAACTGAAGTTCCTGCACACACAATTTAGAGTCGAGCAAAAACGGGTTGAGCTAATAATACAAAAGATTGCACATTCGAGGGCACAAGTACAGTGTCTGATGCAGGCAAGTTACCATGGTTACCATGGTTACCATGATTCTGAAGGCAGTGCCGCGGCGCATGGACCTGCGCACAATCACAGGTGCAATATTATCGATTTGAGTCGCAGTTAAGAGACTGCATTGGAGCGGAGGCGTGCGGTTTCATAAAGGACCTGATATACTCTTGGTAAAAGCAGTATTCAACGTGATGTGTAATGGGCAGGCAGAGAACTTCAGTGGCAAAAAAATAGGGAGGTAAGTGAGTCTACAGGAACGTTCAACACCCTGGAAAAAAATGGGGCTTGTCCGGGATTTGAACCCGGGACCTCTCGCATCCGAAGCGAGAATCATACCCCTAGACCAACAAGCCACTTCTGTATCACTCAAATAATACTAGAAGAATAACAAAGGTTGCAGGTCTAGATTGCATGCATGTGCTATACTTTGCATTACATGTACTGTAAGCCGGAGGCATTCTTAGTAGCCCCACCCACTGCTGGTAGAGAGGTGGTATCAAGATGGGCATGACTGAGTCATTCTGCTTCGAGTTCAATACAGCAATAACGATGCGAATCAGTACTGCTGCATGTATGCATGACAAATACAGCGATCACGGTTTGGTTGACAGCATGTTACAAGGCGGAGGACGCACTGTGTTGAAAACAGTGCTCTTGACTACAACCTCCACTGTTGACGGAGCCCCGGAACAAGAGTGCGCAGTCTCTCGATTAGGTTGCTGTCACGGTAAAATTCCTGGTCAACATGGTTCTAGAGTCGTGGCGTGAGGCGCGCAAGCAGGTCTCTCTCTCTCGCTGCACATCGGCAGCTCAGCTGTGCGCACTGTGCCGTGCCCCACCGCCTATGTGCACCACCTACGATGCAAGCCAGGAATTTTGTCGTGACTGATGGCCAAACAGAAACTTAAAGGTCAAAAGCTGCACACCCTTGCATTTAGTACGTATGTAAAATAATTACTATGTGACTGTTGTTAAAATCCAGTACCCTCCCTTGTCCCTTGTCAAACAGAATTCCTGTTGTTGATCCAGCACCCTCCCTTATCCAGCAGAATTGCTGTCGCGCAAATGGCCCAGGATAAATCTTGAAACAAGAGGGACATGTAGTGGTCCCTCTTGTTTCAAGTTTTATCCTGGGCCATTTGCACAGCATACCGATGTATACACGACGTGACTCAACTGTGCATGCACTGTAAGTCTACAAATTTCAGCCCATTTAAATTTCGACCTCCCATGGGCTAAAATCCATTTCGGCCGCATCAAATTTCAGCCTGTACTGCTGCCGCCCGAATACACTGTCACACTGAACCTTGCAAAACAAAATTTCGGCCGCAACAAATTTCCGCCAAACATGACAAGGCCGAAAATAGCCCAAAATGATTATGCGCCGAATATTTGTTGACTTACAGTAGACGGTAAGTTAGTACATGGACATAAGAACGGCCTAGGCTGCGACGCTGATCCCCAGTTCTTCGGAACCCAACAGTACTATAGAACGAGTACAGACCGTGCAGTAAGGTCCTCCCTAGCTACACATAATATCATGTGTCCCTACTCCGAGTCTTTGCTGGACGATGTAGCACTACTGTAGTTGTCATGTACTGAGGTGTACATACGATAATTATGATCTCCGAATGTACTTACTTGATGGGAGTGGGAACAACTCATCGACTTCAGTCCTCCGCTTTGCAAACTCAGCAGTGCTCATGACTTCCGATGTCGACGCCGATGCCGATGACGAATGTGCCTGGTGCCTGGCCGGCAGCAGCTTCTCCAGCTTCCTACGCAGGTGCATGTAACCAAGGTTACCGAGAACGGGCAGGAACTTGGCGTAGGCTGCGCCACCGCCGTGCTGCAAGAACGAGAGCAAGTGCTCGTTGTGGGCTAGCGGGCCCAGGCTGGCTTGGCGGCGCTCCAGGGTCAGCAGCTCCTCTGTCGTTATCAGACCGGCCACGGCACACTGGTTCCGTAACTGCACGGGGCTTATGCTCAGGATACCGTCTCGCGGGAACTCGGGATGATGCCATGGATCTGCGACGCGTGTACACGCTCACACACGCACACACACACACACACACACACACACACACACACACACACACACACACACACACACACACACACACACACACACCGTGTCAATATGATATAGAACGCACCGCATGACATTCATACTCATACAGCATTATCCAGGGTACTACGAGAGGTATAGGCAACAATATTGACCTAAAATCTGGCACTAGTATACCCCGCCCGTGTACATTGCACTGCTTATTCATGTACATGTACTAGCAAATGCAAACTCAATGTACTAGTAGCTCAAACTCTACCACATGCGCTCTCTGGCCGACCTCATCCACCACACTACTATGGTGAAGTAGAATAAAGATAACCGATAACATAACACCAGCAACACGACTCCAATTTGCTGCTGATAACTTATTGGGGAGGTTAAGCTGCACACGTTATTTTTGACGTGACGCATAATTTTACATCAAATGGGTTGAAATTTGGCGTAATTCGAAATGCGCCAAATTTCTTAACCCCTCTTACGTTATTGGCATAACAATTCCTCCATACAGCTGACCCCGCGCTTTGATGTGAGAGAAGTGTTAAAACATACGGAGTTCGGTGTGCTATTTTCAGAGTGCCAGGATCCCTCCATCTTTTGAGCCTACAGTCTCACATGATTCTATTGATGTCCGCAGTACATTTATGCGTACATGTATCAGTGCCATATTGCACTTTAACTCAATATTCTCTGTGTGCTATAAGGTTTTTTTTTTAAACCGAAATCCGTGGTCAGGGGACATTCTGAGGTGTTCGGCTCACTTCATCAATGACATCATACTATCAGTGAGTACTCTACAAGTTTAAACTCGGATACTGAGCCAATAATAAATGTAAAAAAAGAGACAAATTACATGAGAACGAGTTATGCAGCAACTATCCATCTTGTTACAGTCGTGGCAGAATACACGTGACACATGTTCGTCGGGGTAGCCTCCCCCCTCCTTACGAACACACAATGTCATGTGTATGGCCCGGGGCCCGGGGACAGAATTTCGTTTTGAAAAAATCGGTGCTTTAATAAGGGACAATCCCTAACAACAGTGTTACAATGTAACTACTACTACTAGTATCACCATGATCACCTTCTGGACTGGTTAGCGCAGTGCTGGCACCGGTTCGTACAGACGCAGAACCATCATGACCCGAGCGCACCTTGGATGATTGGCGCACTTGTGCAGGACTAGATGGATGAGCCAGTTTCGACTTGGACGGTGCAGGATAATGGTAGGCTGCTGTCTTCTTTGAATAGGTTGGGAGCGACTCAATCTCCTCGGTCTCCATATCCTCGAACTCAACAGGAGGAGCCGCGTGTTTGGACGGTAGCTGGTACGGCACAGCGCGGGCATTGGCCCCAGCTTTCTTCCCCCCTTTTTTGGACATGATTGTTGTGCAGGTAAGTAACACGTTAGTTAGTTTGTGTGAGGTACTACTAGGTAGACACTTCAAGTTCAACTGCTGACTTCCTAGACATGATCCAATAATTACAGAACAGTAGGCCGAGATAGTAGTGCCTCGCCATCAGCACCACCGACACGTGGCTCGTGCTATGCTTCTTGAGCTGATCGGGTTTGGTAGCTAGAGTAGCATGAAGCGCTAGAACTCGTGCGACCGACTGAAGAATCTCTCCATCTACATCTGAACCGGTCCACCAAGCAGGACAGACCGGAGCGAGAAAGAGGGAAACAACAATCATGCATTCTGATCTGCAAAGCGACAAAAAAATCGGACAAGAAAAATCGGACAAGCCTACGACTACGTAATGTTAGCGTTGTTGATCGATCGTGATGTCGTCATCGACAATGTCATTATGATGCCGATTCTGATCACACAGTGATCAGTGAAATCATTCATTCAGTTGTGTCTTGACTCTTGACTTGAGTCTTGACTCTTGTCGAATGTCGTCTTGAGAGTAGAACATGACATTGTATTATAATTATACAAGTAAGTGTTAGTTGAGAGTTGAGTCAAACATCGGCATGCGGCACGGAAGGACGGTGATGTGATACATCAGCCTTGTGCAGGCAGACAGTGAACGACCGCTCAAGGGACCTTCAAAACGTGGTCTCTGTTACCAGGTGGCCTCCTATACAGGGTCATTCGACTGGAAATCATTCATAGTACATGTACTGCATCCCTTGGTCCTAGTTGGAGTGGTCTCAAGTTTTTCAGTTTAGGGACATTGAGGTGGTCGCCTTGACAGGTTTTACTATAGTATTCGGAACAAACCAGTAAATCAACAAATTTTGGCCGGTGAGAAACTTTGGCCGATCTCGAAATGAAACTTGGCCGTCATTTAGTTACTTTGGCCGATTGGGGTTTTCAAAAGAGAAATCGATTGGTGGTATATGTTGCCCTCACATACAGCCATGGCTCATCATTTGCCTCTGTGACAAATTTTGGCCTGTGATTTACTTTGGCCGGTTGGTAAAAAGAAAAGAAAAAAAAGTAAATTATCGTGTCCGTTCCCGAAGGGAACTCACGACGGCCGCTAACACCCGGTTGGTACCCAACGGCGAAATCAAATTAGTTGATTACAGTACTATCAAGAGCACTGCATGTATCTAATATTGACTGAGTATGAGGTCAATAATTATAGGAAATAAAAGCCGAGTAAAAGACCGAGGCGAAGCAGAGCTATAGCTAGAGGTCTTTTACGAGGTTTTATTTCCTATCTGACCAAGACTCAGTCAATATTAGATTTATCACGACAAACAGTCCGTATTTCAAATTCCAGAACGATCACCTCATGAATCCCGGTTTAGTGATTGCACAGCCGTTGCACCATCACCTACTCATACAGTGACCATGCTGCACTAGTAGCAGGCGCGTGCCCCGTATGGGTTCCTGGGTGCCCGGAACCCCCCCCCCCCCTTTTCGCTCAAAATGCAGGGTTTTGCATCATTTTTTGTAGGGGTGAAAGGGGTAACCCGGGTACCCGTCTGTTTAGCTGCTGATCCGCTAGCAAACGAGTACCCGATAGTCGTGTAGGATTGTAGGGTACAGTTCAGTGCACAGTTTAGAGTGTGTTTTTCCTCGTTCAATCCTGCTACATATCACGGTATCCATTGTAGCTACGACAATTTCGACTGTTACCATGTAGCGCAGTGATTGTGCACGCTGTGCTTGTCGCGGTGTAGTGTACTTGTATGACTTCGCATATCCTCCTGGCGTGAAATCCGGAAGGCTACTGTAGCAATTGTTGCCCGAAAATCTCTCTCCTATCAGAATGCCTGCAAAAGACATTCTGCGCTTACCCGGGGAGGCCCCCGGAACCCCCCCCCCCCCTTGAAGGGCACCGCCGCACGCGCCTGAGTCACACAGTAGGCACCGTTCAACTGCGCAACCCATAAGCAGTCAAATATAAGCAGTCAATATAGCCCTAAGGAGTGAAATATACAGGAATATTTGACTGCTAATAAAAAGTAAAAAAGTAAATTATCGTGTCCGTTCCCGAAGGGAACTCGCGACGGCCGCTAACACCCGATAAACCCTAGCGGCAGATGCAGCGCCTAATGGTGGGGGTGAGTGGATAAGTCTCACAACCACTGGCACAAGTGCCGAAAACGACCCCATTAGCTGCATCCATGTACCCCTTGTGCCTGGCCACAAGTTCCCAGTTGACTGTGGGTAGCAGCATGGCTGGAAAACCGCTCCCAGTAATAGGTATAGCGAAAATCAATGGGAGTCAATACTAAGAGAGTGATAAAATAATATAATGATACTTTTAAAAGTACAGTACTAGCTTTCTAAGTGGGAGTACATAACGCAATAACCCCAGGTGTTATGTACTACTACCCCATTAGCCCTTTCCCAAAGTCGCAAAGATGCTCGCCACTTTTTTCGCAACTTTTTGTTGTTTTGGAAGAAATCTTTCTCCATTTTCGCAAACAACTTCGCAACTTTTCCGCAACTGTTTGCAGAGAAGCACCTTGGAGGAGACCATTGAAGTGTCCGTGATGCTCCGCTTCAACATTGCATTAAATCATCATGACAAGTGTACTTCTCATGTGGCAGCACTGAGCATGCCGCTATGTCATGAATGCTGTGCAAAGGTTCAACAACAACGGACAAGGACTCATCCCAAGTCTGTTCATTTTAAACATGTTTCACGCTGTGAAGTACATGTATGCATTCATATGTACTTCAAAGTATGATTGACTTTACTCAAGCAGTTGTGCTGCGCCAGTGTTTTCCATTTCCGCTCCTTGGTTGTTTTTGGCATCATTATGTACAAGAACTCGCTCATTTTGAGTTGCGATATTTATAGCAGCTATTGAGCTTTTTCTGAAAATATGGATGCGATTTCAGCAACTTTCACTTGTTTTGGCATGGTTGCGAAAAGCATAAGTTGCAAAATATGTTGGCATCTTTGGGAAAGGGCTATACCCCATGCATGGGTTTGGCACTCTTGTGACTATTCATTTTCATGTTGTGACGAGAGCTGCATTGCATTCGCATTGTGTTTCTTCTCAGTGTGTTTTGGATATACATATGTATCGGGTATTCGTATAAACTGTACATGTACATGACATTGTACAGTAGTACATCGTCTACATGACTATAATGCAAACCATGTACAGTCAACCTACCCTAACCGGACATCCTTGGTGCAGCGGAAACTGTCCTGATATGACAGGATTCCGCTTCAACGGATCCAGGGATGCACGGTCGATCCACAGCACTTTGGTGCATGACAATTTGTCCGGTCAATACAGGACTACGCTTGGCTTTCCGAAGTTTCCGTGTTTGTGCGATTTGTGCGATCCGGTGCTGTTATGGGCCCACCTATTGGTGCCGCGTGCATGTGTTTGCAAGTGCACCTGCAAGGCACACCAAGCTGTCAGTGCATGTGCCGTACACTGTCCTTTGCATTGAAAACTGCCCTTCGCGACCACTTGGCTCACTGATCAGATGCCATCATGCGTAGCCAGAGATCAACGTACAAAGAGCGTGTACATCTCAGCCATGGTAGTCAAAGCAGAACAACGGACGGTAGATCCATGTGCCCTGAACCTGATGAATTGACACTGTATCTACGAGACAAGCGCGGAAGATCGCAGATCAAGATATAATAGGGAGGTGCACAGTCTTGGTTACGTATTCCCCAACCACATTTGGGTTTTCACACACATGCACGCACACACACGCACGTACACACACACACACACATATGTGGCACTCACTGTAGACTGGGAGGCAGAGAAAGGACGCACCGAGTGCAATTCGTCACCCAGAGAAGCAGACGAAAATTCTAGAAAATACTATGACAGTGGAGCACGCATGGTCATAAGTTGGCAATATGCATGGTGCTATGTACAGAGTCAGTGCGTGGGCACTTTAAAACGTTGGATACCGGTATGCTGATGAAGTTTGAAACTTTACAAGAAGATACTACGCTGATGACATTCCCATGCACTATACACCATGGAAAGTGGAGAGCGTAAAAAAAGAACAGGAGCTAGCAAGTCATGTGGAGATAAAGTTTCGTGCAAGGTTAGATTTTTGTTCAGGTTGACTTGCGTGTGAATTTCATGGGCAGTCGTATAGACCAGTGAGCAGTGTGTACAATGTACACGTAATAGTAACACAATGAGCAACACGGAAGGAGCTCACTTTTTCGGCTTGGCCGGGGTTGGAATGAAGTGCTGGTAGTAGGAGCGGGTCGTGTCGGTCATCACCTCCTGAGTGCATTCAGGTAGCTCGCCCACACAGCGACCTGAACAAAAACAAAGCACACGGACAAACATGGACAAGTACACACACACACACACACACGCGCGCGTACATACACACAGAGCACATTGTGAAGTTGAGCAACAATGCTATGCACCTACAGACGGCAAATCACAAATCTCAGATTCACAATACATGTATGCGTACAATCATGCACATGCACTGCACTTACCTGGTGAGCCACCAAATATGGTGAAGGGAGGAACAACGGTCTCCGGTGCAAGGACTGTACCGTCCAGGATCTTACAGCAGTCCTTCAGCACTGAACGACGGCCCTACATGTACGTCACATTAAATAGCACACACCATACAGCATGGAAAGAAAGAGAGCCATTCAACAGATTGGTGGAATCTTACACGAATACGTATCACTACTGATAGTGATACTGCTACTCTTGCAGCAACTTGTGGCACATTTTGTAATTATCTGTGTGTGTGTTCGTCACAGATTCTCAGGTTTTCACTTTCACGCGATGACTTCATTGGCATTTGCTTTAGAAATCCGTAAGTTGTGTCGGGTTTGGGCATGAGCCGGCAGACCGCTATGTTCCACCGTGTGGTCAGCAGTCTAAGCACTGGTTTCACAACAGAAATATGAGATATTGTAAGACATGAAAATATAACGAGGAAGTAAGTCCAACGTTTTAACGACTGACATTTCTTTGATGAAGTTGGTTGCTCCAACGAGGAACACACGCTTCCTGCCGAACTTGACTGACTCACGACTGCCATCCGGAGCACACTTCCTCAGTTTGACATTTCTTCGTTATAATAAGTTGTTCAGGCTGTGATGTCTGGTATGTGTTAATTAAGTGCGGATATACCTGAAGACTGCAAGATCATTAACGTATCTTCTCGTTAACCTATAGACTTTGGATAATCGTTAAATTTGCGCCTCGTTATAATAACATGTCTTACAGTGCTGTATGTACCAAACAAAGTCCACCTGAAGACACCCATGCGATCAACTCAGACCTTGCCTGATTCAGCAAGCGCAACAAAGTGAGCAGCACCGCATGCGGGTTCTGTTTTCGGGAGAAGAGCTGGAAGATAGAAAGCCGAAATCACGATTGCTTACATTGCATGCATGCATGCTGCAGCAGCTGTTGGTGTTACACAGCATGGAGGATGGTGAACAGGCTGTGACATTTCATGCAACATAAGTCACCCTCAGGAGTACATGTAGGCTCAGGAGGAGCACAATACAACCAGTCTATTTCCTCATTTCAAAAGGCAAGTACCGTATTTTCCGCAGAATAAGCATCAGCCGGATTTTTTGTCACGAAATACAGACATCTACCCAAGCGTTTACCACGGCGTTAATTTGATCATCATAGTATAAGCCGCACTGACTTTTTTTGGGTGAATTACTGGTGTCTAAAGTGCGGCTTACACTCTGAAAATACAGGACTCCAAGTGAAAGTCGATTTCCTCTTCCACCTCCAATGCGGCACAGTCTTGGAAATTGAATATTAAAATATTCAATCTCCAGCTGATGTCCGTGGAATGCTCACTTACAATAACACACTTCTTGCCGATGTGAACGAAGGAGCCGATTTTCGCTGCTGCCACCACGCTGTCCTCCTCGATAAACACATGATCTCCAATGTGTAGCGGGAAGAAGGCCACGCTGTAGTGAAGGAGCAAACGGCAACCATCATCAGAGGTGTGACAACACCACGGCACAGTGAGTAAAGTCACAATCTACTGCAGTACACGGCTTGGGTAAGACATTGCAAGAAGAAAATAGCATCAGTTCAGGCGCAGCACCGCCGTTGCCGGCGTTGGAGGTGGTCCGGCTGGAGGGGGGTTGTTCCCCGGGAAATATTTTGAAAATAGGGTGCAAAATCCTGCATTCCGGGCACTTTGGGCATTGTGTTAAAAAAACCTTTTAAAAAAGTGGTCCGGCCAGACCGGCTGCTACGCCCCTGCAGTGACAAAGCAGCACCAGCTGCTAATGTGCAATGCTAACCAAACATAGTCAGCACCCAGTACTTCTGTACATACAGAAGCTATCACAGCAAGCTTTTCATACACATACTACTAGTAGTCAATAGACTTCTAGGAATGCTGTGATAAGCGACAGCCTGACTGAGTAATGACATCATTGCTCTATACATGCTGTATTTGCAATACCAGCCATCGTGTTTCCCAACGGCTTGAGTGCCACGGACAGATGGCGTTTCAGATTGTATAGAATGCTCTTGCCGCGTGTAGCCAGAACACTGCATAAAGTGCAGAGTGTGTACACGCACGAGTACTGCTCGTACCGATTAAACAATCGGCAAGTGCAGAGTTGCCCTGACGCATTTCATAACACAACTAAACCAAGTGCAGCCGTCAAGTGGGAAACAAGATATAAAACATACCCTTTGCTGAACTTCTTGAAGGGCGGCCGGATGACTGATCCACCACCGATGACACACAGGCGACCGATGCGAATGTTGGCCAAGTCGCCACGAATAATGCAGTCAGCTTTGATTATGGTCTAATCGTAAAGAGGACAGGAGGACATGCACACGAAGAAACGTTCATGCTGGTCTGTTCGACAGTGCCATAAATGATACACTGGGTGCCAGGTCTAATGGTAATCCATCGCCACAGACCACTGGCCACTGTCTGACAATCTAATGGCCTGGCCAGAGTGCATTATCAATCAGAGACTGGTCAGTTTCAGATGCTAGCTGCCATAACGTTGCCATGCCCAACAAGTCACTCCATCCCATCTGTATACGCCTGCTTTGGCAATCAAGCCATCAGCTAGCGATGGAACACGGCACATGCGAAAGGGAACCGGGAACGGGCAGCCCGGGAGTGAAACCCACATTGCTTCGCGTTCCAGCCACCAGCGCAATCTCCCTAGAAGCTGCACCACCCTACACATGTAGCATGTGATATGCATGTACACTGATATATGGATTGTGTACTATGCTCCTATCCTGCCTTCTGGTTATCTTATGGAATAAAAGAGCACATTGCGAAGTATACTGTGCGTCCCATTCAGCTGTACATAAGTGTGCTTCTTGAAACTGATCAGATCTCCAAAGGCATTTTCCTCAGCCCGGCAGTGCACCACATCGGACACATCAACGTCAGTGCACACACCTATTTTCTATATCCATGTACTTCAAGTACATTTCAATGCCACGTCTACAGGCAATGGGGTGCAACGACGTTACGTGCATGTACAAGAAAACTACGGAAGTATGTTATACTGTTGTGCTTGGATATCACATGAATGTAATTTTTCTTTTCTTTACTTGATCTGCTCACTACAATTTCGTTCCATCTGAATGCAGTGAAATGATGCATACTGCAACAAGTCATCATTCTAGTTGCATACCTTTCCATTCAAAACGATGTTCTGGCTTCCACATAGGACAGATTTGCGACTGACTTTATTGCCAGACGCCTTCGAAAAAGAATAAAACATCATTTGCACGTCAGCCTAAACTGAGCCAACACGATTTGAATCACGCCAAATGGCGCCATCGCTACGGCACTCACCGTCTCAATGTACTCGCTTTTGGAGAAGAACACGTCTTCCTGCTCCATCCTTACCCATTCCACACCCTCAGAATTTCAAAAATCAAACTTCGTGAAGCATTAATTTTCAAGGTGAAGATTCAAACAGACTTGCATTTTCTGTTGACGTCATGACTGTTGTGAGAGCTAGAGCTAGAGTACGACTACGAGTGACGTACTCGTATTCACACGATTTATATTTTTACACTTTTTTTGGGGGGGTGATAACCGGGGAGTAGCACAATACTTTTATTGACTATTGTACTATTCCCTGGTGATAACAAGAGTCCATAAACAAGTTTATGCACTCTTGGTACATGGTGATAACCATTAGGGAGTCGTAAAATACGTGGTATTTTACGACTGCCTGTAACCATGATAACGCGTTACATGCTCCCGGGATCCCCGGCCATCAAGACTGACAAGAGTCGTTGGGTGGGGCCTTGTAATAACTGCAGACAGCATTCATAACCACAAGGCCAAAAAGGAAGGGATAAATCGTGGGTTTTGATAACAAATCTCTGTAGTTACTTTACTGTTGCGTCCATTGACCCACTAATATTAATAATATTATTATCTTCAGAGGCTTTCAATCACTGGGCTCCGCATGCGCACCGGTGACCAGCGCTAACACGTTTACGAGATTGGAATTCTTGATGACATGGCAAATTCACAATGTACTTCGAAGTACTAGTATTACTAACTAATTGCTTAGAGTTGTAATGAACGCCTGAATTCCGCCAGGCCTGCAAGCCAATTGGTAACTAGGAACAATGACGCTGACGTCATCAAGAGCACATCAGCAGTTACATAAAGCTGCTAAAACTGACAAGTACAAATCAGACTTTAATACTAGAAGTTCTTCTTCCTCTTCTAGAATCACTTCGAGAGGTGTGATGAAAACCCAGCACCACCACCAACGCAAATGGTTTCAATACACATTATACATGCCCATAGGTTTTTGGCAGCACACATGGGACACAAGTAAATAGTTACCAACATCAGAATCGCATCGCATCAAAAAGGTATAAAAGTCTGAAAGATAAAAAGACGGGCACGTTGTGATAGCTTGTTCTACATTCACACAAAGGCGTATCGCCCAAATCGAACAAAAGCATCGCAGAAGGCTTGATGAGATCTGAACTCTCCTCGACTCAGTAAGGGGTCGACGGGTCGATATTTGACTGTGATTAATGATCACAGTGGCATAGTCCAGTAGGCAGTCAGAATATGATACAGGTCTGGATTGGAGAGAGAGAGGTGGCAGAGACCCAGGGCAACAAGCCAGTTTGCCCCTGGTATTGATGATAACTGCGGTCGGGGGCGCATCGAGGAAACGCGTCAATGGAAATCTTCATAACGATTCCCTTCTACTTAGAAGTGCAGCTGCTTGAATGGGTTGCAATCTGTGCAGTCTAGTCGCGGAATTTGAAGAGTTCTCTACACCAAAACCCCGTACCAGCATGTAGGCTTTCCACGGTTGAGGAGGTGCTAAACAAGCCAACATCCGAGACGAATTGCAGCAGAAACTCAGCTCCCTACTGCCTTGGGTCCACCTCCATGGTAGTTGCCAGTGATTGCGGCCTTGCTGAAGTCTAGACCAGGGTTCTGCAATGACACAATGACACACAACAAACAACAAAGCCGCTCTGGTTATCGACAAAAAAATAAAAGTAAAAATAGAAATAAACTTAAAAAAGCTACCAATGCTGCCATCGCCAAAACAACATCAAAAAGAACGAAACATGAATTTAGCCGAGATGTCAGACACTCTGGATGTAAAGTATAGGACAGATGGATCATTCAACGCAATGAATACTAGGATATGCAGTGTGTTTGCAGGTGTAACTGAGAAAGCAGCCATGCCATAAGGGGCCGTCCATAAATACATGTATTTACTTAGACACAAAGGCACATCGTTGTCTGATGATTGGTTCAGCCATGAAACTCTGAGTCACAACGGAATTAATTTGCCAAGGTTTTCATTG